AGCAGAAAAGAGTCCAGCACCTAACCCATAGTAGCCCCAGGATTCCTTCTAAACCCAAACCCAGCCCATTCCCCCATCACCGAGTTGATTTTGACTCTGTCTGACCTCGCAAAGTGTCTCCGAGGGAGGAAATCTTTTTTAGAGCAGACAGCTCGTCTTTCTCCCTCAGAGCAAGCTGGTGGTTCTGAACCAGCCTGACAGTCCGCAGTGCAAGACTTACCTGAGAGCACCACCAAAGCTTCTTGGGCTTCTTTTCAAGTGCCTCCCCATTGCCAGGCCATCTCTTCCCTTCATCCCAGCTGCTCCCCTTGCTGGAGGGAGCCCTGGTGGTGTAGTGAGCTACGCATTGGTTTGCTAACCACAAGGACAGCAGTTCAAACCCACCAGCCTCTCCTTGGGAGAAAGATGACGCTTTCTACACACATAAAGATTTAGTCTTGGAAACCTACATGGACAGCTCTACTCTGTCCTATAGGGTCAGAGGGAACCAGAATCGACTCATGGCCAGTGAGCTTTCTGAGTTCCGCCTGGAATGTTCTCCCCCCAGTTAAGTGCATGCATGGTTTACTTTCTTATCTCCTTTAAGTCTTTGTTCAGATACCCACTTCTCAACAAAGCCTACTCGGACCACCTTATTTAACATTGCAACTTATTTCCCTGCTTCCTCCCTGTCCCCCACGTCCAGCACAGCGTGCCCAAGCCCACTGCCTCTGCACTCTGATGGATGCGTTTTGTAGAACCGCCTTTAACCAACATTCTCGTGTGCCCGCTAGGATGTCAGGCCCAAGAGAGCGGAGTCTTGCCTGTTTTGTTCACTCTTAGGTCCTATGCTTAGAAGCAGTGCCTGGTACAGAGTGGGGGGTCCAGCTTTGTGGCATGTAGGGCTTTGTCCAACTGTATAAATAGTTGATAGGGTACCCGTAATGAGTGCCCCTAAGTGCAGTGGCTTCTCCTAGGGAACAGATCCCGGATTCCTGTCACTAGCGTGGATTGCAAAGAGTGGAAGCCAGCTTCAGAGGAGAGGTCTTTTGTTGTCTTTTGGAGGAACCTACTGCCAGGCCCCAGAAATGTCACCACATAGATGCAGGCTGTCATCCCTGGCAACATCACTAACAGAGTGTGGGTGGTAGAGATGCTAAGGTCTCCATTCCCCATCTGTCGGGCCCAAATGGCATAAACACTAAGGTCTCCATTATCTATCTGTCAGGCCCAAACAGGTCAAATGGCCAGGACATGAGCCAAGACTTGTTCAATAGAGATCAACAGATAAGACACGAGGGAAGCAGCCCAGGAAGAAGGTAAGGAGGGGCGAGATGACGACAGGGTAAGAGGGCCGAGTCCAGACCGTGACCACAGAAGTCCAAGTGTTGGAGAAAGGGAAGCCAGGTGAGTAAGGCCCAGGCACTCCCTGGCTACAGTGAGTCATGTCTGAGTCCTCGTCTGTGGGACAGTGTAGGCTCCCAGCAGAGCCCTAGGGATTTGCCAAGTGACTAAAACTGATGTGGTCCTCTATACCAGCACAGTGGTTTAACTGCCCAGACAATCTGTCAGTTCCCTGTGTGACTCTCCAGGAATCAGAGCGAGAAGTTGGACTTTTATATTGCAGAGGCAGACGGAAGTGTAGCATCAGGCTGGAGCCAGCAGGAAGCTGGACAGGCACGGGGTGGTATAGAGGACCACACCAGTTTTAGTCACTTGGCAAATCCGTGGTGGACCTCCTGTGGAGGCTTCCCCAGGTAGATTTGATCCAGAGCGGTATCACAGACACCAAGTTGCATGCTAGACCCAAATCCTATTAGATATACAAAGGTGGGACACCATAGTTTGTGGGCGGTAGCTGCCCATTGTGATCATGCCTAGCAAATTGGGTAATTCCTGGGTGACCACTGCAAAGCTGCTCTGAGTTGGAATCCACTCCAGGGCAGAGGTTGGGTTTGAGAAGGTCAAGTGGCTGGAGCGAAGAAAGGAGGGGATGTTGGCCACAGGCGTAGGGTGGCAATGGGGGAGGGGGCGCTAGGTCATAGAGGCTTCCTGGACACTCTGGGAGGGCTTTGACTTCGACTCTGGGTACCACAGGGACTGCTGTATGGGATTAGATATCAGAGCAGTGAGCAGACGCCCGGACACCAGAGGCCTCGGCCAGGGAGATGGTAGGGCATTCTGACTACCTTCAGCAGGGGAAGCTAACAGAATTTGGGGCTAGGTTGAGATGGGTGTGAGAGAAAGAAGAGCCAATGATAATGCCACCAGCCACTTTCCGGAGCACAATTTGTGCACAAATGAACCAGCTGAGGGCTGGGGGCAGCAGGGAAGGTGGGTAGCTAGGAGAAAGGAAAGGGCCCAGCCAGATAGGAAGGCTGAGGGACTTGAACAATGTGGCCACTTCCTCTTTAGCCCTGCCAGACCCTTGCCAGCCATCTGGCATGATTTTTGTCTTCTCTAAACGAATCAAAATCTAGGTTCTAAAGCCTGTGATGGGGCCACGGAGCTCTGGGAACACTGGGTGGGGACTTTGCATGGACCCTGGGGATGAAGCAAACCTGGCTTGGCGGCCTTTGGGTTCTGTCTAAAGATCCTCCTGGAGTTTCCCGGGAGCCGGAGCTAGGCGGGTGGGCGTTCTGCTAAATCAACTAGCATTTTCCTCCCGCATGTCCAAATGCTCCCTGCGCTTGTCTGGACCTGGTCTGAGAGACCCAGCGCTTGCTGACTGGGGCTCCTAAGAAGGGGGAGGTAGGGGATTTAAGGGCCCAAATGGCATTAAGGGGTCCTGGTGGTGTAGTGCTTACGAGTGGCTGTGACTTACAAAGCCCACCAGCTGCTCCTGCAGGAGAAAGGGCTTTTGACTCCCATAAGCAGTCACCGTTTTCAGAAGCTCAAAGGAGCTGTTCCCCCCTGCCCTATAGGGTCATTGTGTGTTGGCATCAACTCAATGGCAGTGAATTTTTGGAGTTGTGGAGTCCCTGCAGCCCATCTGTCTCCCACCCCAACTTGAGGAACTGGGGTTGTTTTCATTGTTTTGTTCTCATTTGTTTTTAAAACAAAATTTTCTGTAATGGAAATTGAATTTTGTCATGGAAAGATTACTTTGCAAACCAATCATAAATTGACCTAAGGGTAGAAAAATTTCAGCAGGCAGGAGATTTGTTAGGGCTTATACGAGGTTTATACATTTACATGGTGAGCAATCTGTATGTGGGACTCATCGACCTCGAATGTGATGCCGGCTGAAAATACAGAGAAATTCAAGGTTTGGCTAAGTTCCTGGCCAAGAAAACAAAAAATAAAACAATCCAACAACCTGTGGCTGTTGCAGCTTACATTCTGACTGTTCGACATCCAGTTCGTGACCCCATGCTCCAGCCGAACACATCCCTTGGTGTATGGGGTTAATTATTAACGAGCATGTTGTCACATCCTCTTTCCTGGTGACACACAGGGATGGGCAGTGCCAGGAGTGGAAAACTTCCCGGAGGCCTTGAGTTCAAGGAGCTCAGAGATGTGGAGAGAAAGTGACCGGGCAGCAGAGCCCCTAAGCCCAGGGGTGCCAGGAGGTGCCACTGCCTGAGGGGGCTTGCCAGGAGTCTCTCCTGTTCTTGCTGGCAGGGGCAGGGGTGCCCACTTGCTGAGTAAAGCCAGATTTAAACACTGGGATGTTCACAGGGAACCAGACGGGCTCCTCCAGGTGTCAGTTACTCATCTGAACAACATTATTGCCTACTTGCTAATTACTGTGTGCGCTTCCCCCACCCCACCCCCTTCTAAACTTCTTGTGCTCAGTTAGAACCTGAGAGTTAGAAGTGTCCAATTTAATTCACAAAACTCTACACTCTCCCCTTAGGGGTCATCAAATAAATTTCCTGAACACACTCCTCTGGTTTGTACAGAACTTGCCGCCAAGGGAGCACTGTGTCTTTTACAGTCACCCGGAGGGAACGAATAGGCAGGAGCGTTCCAAAATGATACGGGGGCAGGCTCTCCGGGGCCAAGGTATGGGTGGGTGACCTTGCATGTCTCTGACCATAACTCGGGGGAAGAGTGTCCTTTAGGATGGCCTGAAGCCCCCAGGTCCTCAACCAGGAACCGGCCCCACAAAAGAAGCTGTGGCCTCTGCGTGACCAGAGGCCAGGGGAAGTCTGCTGACTTTTTCCGTCCAGCTATGCTTCAGCCTGTCCCTCCCCAGCTCGTGGTCACGTCTGTCTTCTGGCCCTCCGGGCTGGCATTCCTGCCCAGGGAGGCAGGGAGGGGCTAGGAGTCCAACCCTCCCTGGAGCAGAGGGCAGTGACTCACGGGTAGTTAGTTACCTGTCCTCTGGCCCACTGCCAACCCTGCTGAGGGAGCCGGAGGGGAGGCACTGAGTGACTGTTCATTCCTTCCCAACTTCCCAACTCCTTGATTGAGCTGGGCTTTGACCCCTTCCGGGTGAAACAGAGCCCTTTAAGGAGCTTCCAAATTCCCCGAGCATCTGGGATTTCCCACTGTGGACCACCACGGCAGGGGGAGGTGGGTGCTTTCCAGGGTCCTGGAGGGGTGGGTCTTCTCATCTCAGCCCCGCCTACAGGGAAGAGAGGTTCATACTCACGCTCTGATCCTTGTATCCTCTGGCCTCCGTCTGGGAGGTCCAGGCCCCAGGAGGACACATACCCCACTGACCAGATGCACACCTGGCGCAAACGCAAGCGCCCTTCCCCCCACCCACCCCTCCCCGCCTATCCCAGTCTCTTATGATGACTAACATTTGCCCCGTGATCCTGTTAAGAGCCCCCTTCTACTTCGCAGGCACCACCAGACAGGCGGGCACCTCCAAGCCTCTTGTGAGTCTTCTAGGATCAACCCACTTGCCCTGTCCTGTCCCAGGGTGGGGGCTGGGGGGTGCAGCAACGGCAGATGGGCGTGGCTGCTGTTGGATTCCGAGACCCGCCCTGCAGTGAGGTGACGCCCAGCCAGGGAGGCTCCAGAGGTGAAGCCGTTGTTTAAAACCTTGGGGCCAGGAGAGGGGACCCCCACCTTCAAGGAGAGCTCTGCGAGAGGCACTCTGGAGAAAGCGCCGCAGCCGCAGGGCTGAGCTAGGTATGTTACCTGTCATGGCCTGCCTGGAGGGGGCGGCTGGGGAAGGAGGCCTGCATCTCTGGGTGCCTGGGGCCTGCTTGCAGGGCCTGATTCTTTCCTCTTCCTGGGACCTCCCGTGGAGCTCCCCTCTGACACTGTAGCTTAAAGTGTCGGCCACAGTTTGAATTTCTGGTTTCCCATCTGATCAGCCACTCAAGAAAGCAGATTCAGATCTCAGACTGAGCAGGCCTGGGAGGAGGGCAGGGTCCGCCCGCCGGGTTGGCACTCTTCTGCTTGCTGCTAATGATGCCTAGTGCCAGGGGGGTTCTGGCCCGGGCTGGGAGAGCAGAGAGAGAGAGACCCAGAACACACTTCTGCCTCTTAGGTCATGGCAGACGGTGTGATCCCAGGCCCCAGCTCCTCCCTGGGGCCCTGACTGGTAGGGCAGGGATGCTTGTGGAGCATTAGGATAAAGATGCCAGGAGTAACCCGAGCTCGCCCTCTAACCTGCCTTGCCAACTATACCCCCCATTTTCCTCCCCTCCCCCCGCCCCGGCCCCTGGCCCTGTACCCCAGCCAGAGGGAAGGTGGGCAGTGCATGATCTTGGAGGAGTGTGGAGTGTGGCAGGATAAGCCTGCACAGCAGACCCCCAGCCTGGGACGCCTCCTGCAGCCCCGCTGTTCCTCCTCTGGTCCCACCCCTCCCACCCAGAGCCACAGCCCACCAAGAGAGACCATTTGGGTTGCTTCCAGATCAGATGAAATCCTCACTCACTTTTTCAAAATGGTGGTGCCTCTCAAAGTATCCCTGTTCCCTGCTTAGGGCAGAGTTGTGACTTCCACAGACTGGCCCTTGGTGGGGGGCTGGATGGAATTAGGAACCATGCCAGTGGAAGGAGCGGGCTTGCCTCCATGTCTTGTGCCTCGTCCGCATTTACCATCCACAGTGGGCCGGGCCAGGAGAGTCTACTGGCCTAGGCGTTGAGAAAGCACAGTCCTTCCTCTGGGACCCCTACAGCAGTGGTTCTCAACCTTCCTCAGGCCGCGACCCTGTCATACAGGTCCTCATGTGGTGGTGACCCCCAACCCTAAAATCATTTTTGTTGCTACTTCATCACTGTAATTTTGCTACTGTTATGATTCAGGCGACCCTTGTGAAAGGGTCAATTGACCCCAAAGGGGTTTTGACCCACGGATTGAGAATAGCTGGTCTACGGTTACTCTTCTGGAAAGGATTCAGGCCTTCTGCTCCCCTAATTGTCGTTATGACTTGGGGGGGGGGGGGGGCAGGGCAAGCTGAGACCTGAAAGGGGACAGACTTTTCCGAGGGCATCCTGGGAGTCTCATGCTGGCTGGGACAGGGGCATTTTCCAAGCTTTTGGTGACAGTGTGCATGATTGCTGTCCCGGGTCAAGTCCATAAATCTGATACAGGAAAGAAGAGGGGTCGATGTGCTCAAGAGTTCTGCATTGCTTACCCAGGCTGCTCTGCTCTAGGAGAGACCCCGTCTGGGGATAACCCCACTGGCTGAAGATGAGGTCACTCCTCGTCCTGATTTTTGGTAAGTACCCTTTCCCAACACTCTAAACCCCGAGACATAGCAGGGGGGGGGGTGAGAGCCATGGGTGGGAGGAGAGTGGGCCAGAGTGACTGTCACCTGCCACCCTGTCATTCCTTGAGCTTAGAACACTTATACAATCTCCCCCACTCCTTTGGAGGAAGAAACAATACCAATGGCCCTTTCTTAAGACAAATAAACCAAGTCTATTATGATTCATATTGACCCTATAGCGCAGAACTGGGGGGGGGGGGTTTGAGACTTTAAAAGTCTTTACGGGAGCAGACAGTCTCACCTTCTTCCAGTGGAATGGCTGGTAGATTCAAACTGCTGACCTTGTGGTTAGCAGCTCAATTCATAGCCCATTAATACCACTGGGGCTCCTGAAAATGCCCCTTTCTCTGTGTGTCACTGCCATTGAGTCGATTTGGTTTCATAGTAACCCTGTGAGTTTCTGAGACTGGAAACCTTTACAGGAGTAGAAAGCCTCCTCTTTCTCCCGAGGAGCTGATGGTGATTTCAAACTGCGAACCTTGCGGTTAGTCTTCCAACATGTAACCCATTACACCACCAGGGGTGTAATTTCCCCAGTGCCCTCTTCTTCCAACCTGAGGGTAGTGTGTGGTTTCTCGATTGTTCCTCCCAGTCTATAGCCCATGGCTCAGAGTCACCATGGCATGAGTGCTCAGCTTCCCAGTGAGCAGTAGCTGCCACTCACAGAGTGTGGCTGGGTCAACTTTGCAGCTAAAGAAGCCAAATTCAGGCAAGTCCCAATGGTCCCCAGATGAGAAGGGAGCCATCCCTACTCCGGTATGCTAACAGAGGCCACGCCACTGGGAACAGTTGTGGACCATGTGTCCTGGGACTCCAGTGTGTGTTCCTATTTCAGAGTCACCCATAGTTTTCTGACTGCCAGGCTACAGAACATAAAGTCAGCATTTGTGCTTAAAAGATCACAATATGTATCACATGAGACCATGAGTCGGAGAGAGAGCCTAGTTCCTGCCAAAAGCAGCTCCCTTAGGGACATCCTGAAAGTCTTTCCTGGGTTCTCTTTAGGTTCGTTCTGGCCTGTGCCCCAGTAACCTCTTGTGATTTCAGCCTTGCCCAGCCTCCTGCATGCCCAGCAAGCCTGTTCCCGGGGAGCCTGTTACCCACCAGTTGGGGACCTGCTCATCGGGAGGACCCAGTTTCTCCAAGCTTCATCCACCTGTGGACTGACCAAGCCTGAGACTTACTGCACCCTGTATGGAGAGGTAGGCTCTCCCTTCATGGGTGTGGGTGCCATGAGCCCACTCACTTGTTTGCTGAACACTTAGTACACGATGAATCAAAGGCCTAGCCCTTTGCACAGGGAGGTGGAGGTAGGAAGCACAAAAAATTAAAAACCCGATTAAACCGTTCCTCCTGCCTCTAAGGAGCTGGCATTTTTGTTGGGCGGGAGAAAGACATTCAGAATTAGCTGAATGGGTGTTTTCTTTTCTGCTGGATAAAGCTAAAATCTTTCTTCACCCCTTGGACATAGCCAAGCTAATTTCTCAAGTCTTGGGAGTAGGCAGTCACTCTAAGTCTTCATCTGTTTGTTATGTAGGTAGGGTTCAATGTGCCAATTCTGGTGGACCAGGACCAGGCTAGGTTTGGTGTTGGTTTTGGTGTCTGGCATCCTCTTCTATCAGTGAGGGTGAGGTGAGTGGGCCTTGAGTGTCCCTCGGGGTTGCAGCATCTTTGGGAAGACGTGAGGTGGATTATTGGGGAGCAGCCTTCTACCTCTCCTCCTTGTTTCTTTTCCTTCCCTCTCGCCTTCATTTGTAATCTTCTTGTAGGCTGTCAATGTTAGTTGTTGTCTAGGCAATTCCACTGCTGGTGGCCCCGTGTGCCACAGGGTGGATCCCCGGGGTTTTCTCAGCTGTAACCTCGATGGAAGCAGGCCATCAGGTGCCTCACCCTATCTTTTGATGTACTTACTGCTGGGGAGAGATAGGCTCTACGTCTTCTCTGGGTTTGAACTGCCAACCTTTAGGTTAGTAGTAAAGCACCAACAATTAGTGCTGCCCAGGTACCTCCCAAGGCCATCAATCAAGCCATAAACTAAAAGCATGAGTGAGGGACCCCCTGCTTGTCCTTTCTAGGGGTGCACCCTGAAGCCCCTCCAGGTGCAATGGTGGCTGCTTGATAAAAACCAGCAATGAGAGATGTTAACTGTCTTGAAAATTTCAGGTTTTAAGTATACTGAATTTGATTATTAAAGGATACTAGCAGTGCCTATTCACTTTTGAAGCAAATATCAGCTATCTTAGACATCTCGTGAAGGGCTTTGTAGAAATCCATCTCCACTGATGTCCATACTACTTCATGAAATGGTTCTTCCCGGGAGCCTGACTTTTGGAGGGCGTGGGCTTGCACTGGGACGCCACGCTTCAGACAGAACTATGTAGGTGTTGAGTTTTCTGGTGGTTGTCGACCACCACAGCTGGGGGGTTATGTCACAGAGCTGAGTCCTGAGAGCTCCTCTTTACCCATCCCTCCCTCCCCGCCCCCCACATACAAAACCCAAACTCACTGCCTTTCAGTCACATCTCCTAGGAGACTGCCCCTGGGAGTCTCCCAGTCTATAGGAAGCCCCGTCTTTCAACTCTCCCACATACACACGCCCCTTAAGTCCAGGCACCCGCTTTGTGCTTCGAATCTGTTTCCCAGCAGCAGGTGCAGGCGAGCTGAGTCCAGGAAAACATCCCCCAGCACCCACTTGCTTGCTGCCTCTCTCCTGAGGGGTGGAAGGCAGTGCCGTGGAATTTGTGACTCTTGGACATTATTTCTCCACTGCATCCCCTCTCCCCTCTCCCTGGCTCACCGTGCTCACTAACAGAGGCTCTCAAATGGTGGGAGTTGCAGGGGCAGTGGGGACTCCTAGCTCCACCATTCTTTCTCCCTGTGCCCTACTTCGGAGGGTTGGCTCCGCCTTCACTGTGGACCAATCTCAGCCTGTCTTCCTGTCACCGCCTCAGCCTCATTCCCAGAGGCTAAATCCTGCCTGCCTTGATGCTTGCTTCTGTGGGTTTGGGCTCATGTTGCCACCTTTGTAATGGATAGGCCTTGGCCAGCTATGCCTGGTGGCAGCTCCTTCCCCTTCCCTTTGCCCTTCTGGCTCAGCCTGTCTTGGCAACCGGTGATGAACTGTTTGGGCTTGCTCCCAGGCTGCTCTTTACCAAAAGGGCCTGGGGCTGTGGTCCCACCAAATCCCTGTGCCCTTGTCCTGTTTCTTCCAGATTCTGCCTAGCTTCCGGGTGATCCCACTACACCCTCTTTCCCTCAAAACTCAAGGTGCATTTGGCACCTTCCTATCTTTATTTCTTTCCTAAAACCCGCAAGGTGGATGTCATCGCAGGACCCGCTGAGATGAGTTAAGACCCTGGTGGTGTCATGGGTCAGGGGTCCGGCTGCCCCCTGCAAGTTCAGCGGTTGGAGCCCACCAGCTGCTTTGCTGGAGAAAGAGAAGGCTGTCTGCTCCAGTTGAGATTTACAGCCTCGGGAGCCCAGAGGCAGTTCTACTCTGTCCAATGAGTCAGAACCAGCTCCATGGCAGGGAGTTTGACTCCCATGCAGAGTTCCAGTCTCGGAAACCCACAGGGGCAGTTCGACCCTGTCCTATAGGGTCGCTGTGAGTCAGGATTGGCTCGATGGCAGGGCGTTTCTCATGGCAAGGCTTGATAACGCCTACCAGCATGGTGCCTAAAACCTGCTGTGGTCCTTGAGGTTGTTCTGAATTATTAAAGCGCCATGTGTGTCAGACTAGAACTGCACTCCACAGGGCATTCCATCGCTGCCATCTTCGCAAAGGAGATCAATGGACTTTTCTTCCAGGGCTCAAACCATTAACCCCTCGGTTAGTAGCTGACCCCAAAAAGAGATACTCAAGGTCAGTCCATGGTCCTAGGCAGATGCTAAGTGTTTCACTCCCTCACTCCCTCAGCCCCCACTGCCCCACCAGCCCCCGCCTCCTGGGAGCTATGTCTGTCTGTACAGACTGTCCTCTGCTGTGAATTTCCTCTTTCAACATTTCTTTACCGGGCCGCATTCTACTCAGACAGCTCATGGGAAGCTATCTGCCCTTGGGCCAGCTTCCTCTCCTGATCGTTGCCCTCGAATCCATTCAGACTTCTGGTGCACTTGTGTGCTCAGAGGACAAATCCTCCATAGTCTTTTCTAGGCTTTTCTAGGACTCTCTAGGTGGGCATGAGCTGCCAGCCTCTCAATAGTGGTTGAGTGCTTCCCTCTGTGAGCTGCCCAGGGAGCCCACACTTTGCAGCTGGGGCTTGGAGCAGCCGAAGACAGTCACGGTTGGCAAAGCCACCTGGGATTCAGGGTGGAGCCTGTCTAGTTTGGGCCCGTGTTCTGACACTAAGGAAGGGTCTGTGACTTCGTGAACGTTACAGGCCCCGCCCTGGACCTCCGTGTCCTCATTTGTGGAGAGAAGGAGTGGGCCTAGTCAACCTCAGGTCTGCTCCGGAGGGAGTTGGTGGCTCTGCCTGTTTCTCAGAGCTGCTGGGCCATGTGTGTGATCAGAGGGTCTAACACAGGCTCGCTCAGGGCCCGAGCCAGGTCCCTCAGGCATCGCTCCCCAGGAACCAGTCCGCTTTGCCTGGAAGCCTCCCAGCCCCGACTTCTGCTCGCAGCAGTGTCTGCTCCTGTGTGCTATGTGCTCCTCTAAACGCTTCATGTATTCCCCATCCCTCCCTTTCTGGGCAGACCTAATTACCCGTCTGTCCGAATAGCAGGCGTACACAGTACATTCCTCAGGTTAATTAACTGTGTAAACCACACAGCTGTCAATTTTATATCTTGAAAACAAGTTGAGAAGCAGCAGCCAGTTGGAAGTCTCCTTCCCAACACACACACACACACACACACACACACACACACACACACCCGCAACCACTACAGGCTGTGGTTGTTTGGCAGTTGAAAAGGGCAGCTTTCTTGACCCTTGGGAAAGCTGAGGTGCAGACAGAAGATGTGTGTGTACATGTGCTGTGATCCTTGCTCCCTGCCCGCAGAAGATCACGGCATCTGCTCTCTTGTTGGCCAGGAGCTCTAAGCAAATCCCAGACTTCCAAACCCCCTGCTGTGGAGGGTCCACCCTTTAGGATGAAGCGCTGCTGAATTTCTTGTTTCACATACAAGCACTTGAGCTCAAGGCCCCACGTTGATCTTTTCTGGACCATCCATCCCTCAGTGGGAGTCCGTGGGTAGTGACAGTGGTTGACATGCTTGCTGCGAACTAAAAGTTTGACAGTTTGAGTCCACCCAGAGGTGCCTCAGGAGAAAGGCCTGGCCCTCCACTTCCAAAAGATCAGCCTTTGAGAACTTGATGGAGCTCAGCCCTCTCGCACATCGCCTTGAGGGCAACTGCTCTGGCTACTGAGCCAGAGGTTGTCCAGCAGAAAGGCAGCTTTGATTTTTGCTTAGGGTCCCTAAAGAGTTAGCCCCTCCACAATAAATCACCTTTGAAGGGAGAGAAAACACATGGGGAGGGACTTAGTGGCAAGGATGGTATTACACAGAGGAGAGAAAAGCTTGGGGTGGCAGAGTGCTTACTTGGGGTCCTGGCTGTTAGGGGTTGGAGTATATGGCTTGTGGGACTGAGCGGAGAGAACAGAGCGGGAAGCTGGTATGGGAAGGCCTGAAGGACATAACGACTTCTCTGTCCAGGGTCTTTCCGCATTGCTCTGGGAGTTTGGGCCTCCACAAGCCTCTGGACCGTATCTTATATGCCTATGTGGTTTCTTTGCCCAGTCTTCAGCCATGGCATAGGGGAAGCCTTTGTTACCAACAGAGCATGTAGAGATCCCCGGCACAAACCTAATTTGCCCTCAGGTCTCGGGGGATAACTCTGTGTCAGAAGAGGTCTGTGCTGGGGTGGAGGTCACCCTGTTCAGGGGAGAAGGTAAAGAGACATCTCTCAGCCAGGGCTCCTATCAACAGGTTATGTCAAATTAATATTTCGTAACATTTATGTTAACTAACTAGCTTACACCATGATGGGGGTTAGAACATTTGGAATCCACAGGCCAGGACAGTAGGCCGAAAAGTCAGGTACAAGTGTATGCTGCAGTTCTTTTTTTCCTTTCGATAATGATCTATATCATTGTTGAGAATATGCCCAGCGAAACACATCTACTCAGTGTCTACGTGCATGATTCTGGGACGTTAATTATGTTCTTGGAGTGGTGCTACCATTCTAAACTCAAACTTGCTG